CATTATTAGAATTACTGCTTTTAGGGAAATAATTTATAAATTAATTTACTACATTGGTATGAATTTTATTTAATTTAGCTGGTGCAAAAGATTATTAGAGTTTTGAACAATTTGATGAAGTTTTCTATTTTTTATTTTTCTTTTGTGTATTTTGCAGATGATCGTGAGATGAAGACTAAAAATCTAAATGAGACATGGATAAAAAATGGTTAGTTTTTTAATTTGAATTTATTAGTTAAGAATATGTATAAATTATACTTGCCTGTTAGTCGTCGGGGAAAAAACCGTGGGGGAAGATGTCATGTATTATGTCGGAATTAGTTAGTAATTTTAATAGTATGCGAATGATGTTTTTAGTTTGAAGCAGTGGCCAAAGCAATTGAAGTGCTTTAATGGTTTTTAGTTCTTCAGTGCCAACTGCAAAATCATAAGGTGTGTTTTGGATGAGATTATATAATTTGTGATTGTATTTAGTGTTGTGGATGAATTCTAATATTGGGATTTCTATAAGTTGAATAAATTCATGTGGGATAAGGAAGGGTCTGGATTCTTCTGCGTTGAAGGTCTTCGTGATGGGACAAAAAATAAACATTTGGGTTATGGGATCATAATTGCGAAGAATACCGTGAAGGTTAGTATCTTTGATGCAATATGTGAAGTTAAGAAAAAATGGTGAAGTGTACTTAGAGTTAATAAATTGAAAACGGTGGTGTGGTTGTCTTGATGGAGTGTGTAGATCAAAGTGATTTTGTATGAAGCGATAATATGTATATGTGTGGGTTTGTTTAGTGCGTAACATAATATCGTGTGAGCAGTGCAAATCTCGTTCATGTGGTGCAAGGAATTGAAAGGTTAGTGAAAATAATTGAAATTTTTCTTTAAAACTTTCGTAAGCTTGTGTGTCGGTTAGTGCTTCAGAAATGATGTGATCGAATTTGCGATCAAATATATTGAGTGTAAATACATATGGTGTTTTGATGAAGAATTTTTCTGTGATTTGTGGGTTAGCGAAACGGTCATCATCTAAAAATTGGTCTTGGTTAGCTCGGATGATGTTATGATCGTAATATTCCAATACTTTTGCGCCCAAAACTTTGCTTTTCCAGATTTTTGCGACCACAATGATCCCTCGCGACTTTTGCGACCTAAACGGAGATGACGCGACCGGATATCGCGACCCATATTTGGTTTGTCCATGCTTTTGCGATCAAGGGTTGGCTTTTTCAGAACTTCGTAGTCAAAAAACTCAGCCGCGAACTTTGCGACCCAGGCAGAGCAAATAGCTATTTTCACAAGTTTTTTCTATGGTTTTTCTTTCTGCCGCAATAATTTCAAAATCGAAATCCAACGTTTTGTTTTGAGTACTTCTTGCTGAGTAACCTAAACACAAAATAAAACTACACTAAACTACAAAAAAAACGTCGTGGGTTCAAACTTCTTGAAATGAGTTTCTTTTGCTAAAAACGTTTTTGGATTTTGATTTATTCCATGGTTTGATTAAGTATGAGGTTGTAGTATAAATCATTAAAAAGCCCCGTTTGTGAGCGTATCATCTGTTATTGCTACTACTGGTTTGCAAGCAACGATGTGTTTTTCTTAGGGATTTACTGTGAGCGCTCATCTGCTTACAATTTATATTTATTTCTCGCAAACGTGGAAATCATTTTGTTTCTATTCAATTAAAACGCCTTTTAAAAGCCATTTGTTGCCTTTTGGCGCTTGAAAACCCAACCATTATTAAGAAGTAGGGAAGAAACGGCTGAGAACACACAAAAAACCAAGTTTTTCGGTTTTTCGTAGTTTTTTACTGTGACTTTGGCTGAAAACTTTGAAGTCTGGCAAGCTGAATTTAGCTTCAAAAAAATGTTAAAGCTGAATTCGAAAACAGTTCAACAGAAAAATTTACGGCTAGTCGAAGAAATAATCAATGAGTCAATTTTCCTAGAAGTTATTTATCTGCTCAATATAAACTAATTCTTTGAGTTTCTCCTTTTTTCACTTTTGTACAAATTTTTTTTAAATCATTTTGTAGATTTAATTTCAATTTTTCAACGGTGAATGATGTCATTGAATTGCAATAAATAGGTATGTTTTTCTTGACAATTAACTGTAACATGCAAAAATATGTTTTTTTTCGGTTAAAGACGCAGCAATGCAATATGTTCAAAAACTAAAAACGAAACCTCGACTCGGGTAACGGACGAAGGACTAAGCGCGCATATTGCACTCACTGGCGACGTTAAGCCGAAATTCCTAAGTTTAAACTTCTAACCTCGCGAGAAGCCGTTTTCCTGAACTAATTTATTATCCGCTCCTTATTATAAAAAGAAATTGATATTGAAAAGCTTTATGACAAATTGTAGCAGATAAAAAAATCATTCCGTTCATCTTTTTAAGCCGACTTTTTAATTGCGTGTAATTTTTGAGAAAATTTGAAAATTTCGGTCAGTATTTCAAGTTCTCTGAAATGTGCAAAAAAAGTCTTTCCACGTTTTTATATCTAATTTGAAACGCTCTTGCACGTCGGAGGCTATATATACTTTTTTTTTTTAAAAACAATTATTGTTTCAGTCAAATTGCACAAGATTAGCATAATTCTGGTTTCAGCTGAAACAATCCACAATAACCACCTCATTTGACATTGGGGTTGATTGTCCAAAAACCAAATTGATGGCAATGAATGGTTGAAATGGCTAAAAAGTTATTTTCAAATTATCAGTTTTTTTTTTGCGAGCGCAGAACAATTCTCGTATCATATTGCGCTTCAGTTTGTCCGAATTAGTTACAAACAACTCGGTTACTTTCCAAAACTACACAAAACGTTTTTGTGAGATCTTCATTGCAGCAATCACAACTAAATCGTTTTCAGCTCTATGTTTTTAGCATCATAAATAACAGATTATGATAGGCAGGGTACAATAAATGGTCTCTTGAAAGTTGGACTGCATATCCGTTAAACTGGCAAACCCCGAGTCTGCCTGTGCCGATAGTCTCTAGTGAAAAAACAGGAACGGCTCGTTTGCCTCCATGTTCCATGTATTATGCAACTTGATGCGTGCCATTGTGTAATTGATGTCCAGACTGAATGCGTACACACAATTCTTAACAAAATCATCAGAAGACAATAAGTTAGGATTGGAGTGAGGAAAAACCTGAACCAAATTTTTCTGCCTTCTTTCCTGAGGGCGAAAAACAATTGTGAGCGTGCTCTGGCTTCCGGTTTGCAAAAAAACTAAGTCAATCTGAAAAGTGACCTCTTTTTTCCCGCTCTTCTGGTCTTTTGCTCTTCGACTGCATCCCTTCTGAGGTAATTGAGTTTTCTGGACCTGACTCTTGATCCAACTTTGATTCTAATCTTGGCTGTGTGTCATCATGTACGGTTCCTGTGGTTACTGATGTATCCGAAATATTAATATTGTATTTAAGGCCCATCGCTGAAATGATCGAACCAGTTGTTCCAACTAAGCGAGGGAAACTGAAGGTTTTTCTCAAAATTAGGGTGCCCTAGAAGGTCCGTCCTGTCATCCGTAACACGAATTTCTGGCTGCGCCGACAAATACCGAACTCTGGGATTGATAAAACTTAAAAAATTGCAAAAATTAAACTAAATATGAAACGAATAAGTATATATAGTTTGCTGATTTACGATTAATTCAGTTCGGATTGGCAAATCATAGACAAAAGAACTATAATCCTTTTGTATAGGTATTGGAATGAGTATAGACAATGGGCTTAGCTAGGCAGTGAATGAATGCAAAATGAAAAAGGTCTGAATCTTAAGCTGATAAACAAACAGAAAAACAGAAGCAGAGGATTAGCACCGAGAGCATGTATCTAACACGACTGGTGGTTTGCCACGGCAGCACTTTGGTGACTATAACACGAATGCAGCGTGTATAACTGTAGTGATAGATGCGCACCCTGACAGCGGAATAATAGAGACATAGTTTTGGACATACTATGAGCAGGTTACTATAAAGGTGCGCACACTCGGCTGGAATAATTGTGCTCGGGGTGGGTTTTTTCTTCAGGCAAAATTCGATTTTTTAACTAGCCATTTTTGACGGAATTCTTTTATATCATTCGAAAGGTACTGTTGTCTTGAGATTTAATTTGAAAAGTAATTTACGAGTAATCATTTTTCGTAAAGTTATGGGGGTTTATAGATTGCCATTTTGACCAACATGGGACATTAACGCGCTATATATTTCGCGCTTTTAAAGCGTGAATAGAGATTTAATCCGTCTAAGAAGTCGTTCCAAATTAGTTGAAGGAAGCTTATGTGACATAATTGATTTTTTTTACTAGGAGAGAAATCTATCCTTTTATACTTTAAATGGCGTGTGGGGGGATGATTTTCACAAAAATTCTCAAATTTTAGAAGAAAAAATTTTCATTTTATTTTTTTAATGTTATTACTGCTCCATAAACCGTAAAAGGCAGTCGTAACATTCAGGGCTTTGCCCTGATACGAGATGTCTTGTACTGTTTTTGTAAATTGAATGTCAATTTCAATTTCTATCACTTCTATCTTGCTGCTTCTTTCTTCACTCTTAAGTTCCACTACTTTTCCATGTTTTATGATTTAATAATTTATTTTTTTCGCATTTCTCATGAGCATACTTGTTGAGTCTGAATATTCTTGTTGACTATACATGAAATGATTAGAAAATGAGTGAGTTTATGTCAAGACTGTCTAAAACTTGTGTTAAAACATGATATTTTTTTGTATGATTGAGTACTATCATTGTTAGGTTCAGATTCCCACCACAAGTTCTGCGTACAAACCATCTTTTCTTCCTAGCAATTGCCTCATCACAGCTCATGAATTCCTGGATAAAAACTCGTAAAGTCCAAACAAAAATATAGATGGCATGCCAATGACCATAGTCAGTCAATTTTAAAATACCCAAGACGTCGTGATTTGTTTTCTTTCCGATAACTGGAGAGATGATTTTTTTGGTCTAATTTTTTTTGTTCTACTCGATCTAATTTTTTCTCGTGAAATATAACATCGAATAGTTCATTATTTAATATTATTATAATTTTCAATAGATTCGAAACAATTACAAATTTGTGTGTAAAATTAAATTAGGCTGTCCTTGACATACAAGATGACAGGTATCCTCTAATTCTACTGTTAATAGAGTTTGTTAAATTTGAAGACGATTCGGAGCAATTCGAACTTTGACCTTTCTTATTTAGGCTTGGAATATACACAGAGAGAGATTGGCGGCGCTTCCTTCGGTAACTCGAATTGTGTTGGGCGAATTGAGAGAAATATCTGCTTTGGCGTCTGGTGAATGAGCCCCAATTGTGATTGAAGGGCTGATTAAACAGACTCTGCACCCTTGAGAAGTTCTGGTTGCCATGGTGATGGAGTCCTCCGCCAGGCGAGTTCTCGCAGGCGTCTACCATCATCATGATCTCTCGGAACACTCCGAACACGCGACAGTTGTACTTGGCTGAACACTCCATGTATTCACAGTGCCAGTGTTTTTTCACCTACAAAAGCTCAAACTTAAACTTGAAATGCTTTTCAATTTCTTATTAATTGTTTTTTGAATACAGCAGTTTAATTAAAATCATAAACAATTTCAAAACAAGCACAAAAAATTTGGGCTATACAAGAAGAGCTCCAAGTTTTCAGTATCATGAAAACTTTGCAATAAACTGGAATAATCAAAATTTAGTTCGCCTTTTGTCGATTAGTCAAGGATTTCTCTTATCCGAAACTGAAAATTATCATATAATCGTACAAAATACCGGTAATATTTTCAAAAGCAATTAACAAGTGTCATTATCTAAAAACTTTGCACCAGTCCTAGGGCCCACTGGTTGCTGTGTTTTTCTATTTCTACCCTGTTATTTGCTGTTATGCTTATGGTTCGCTCAATTTTAGTTGAGGTATCGTCTTTCCCCTCTGAGGTTTGAACTCTTCTTTGAACTCTAGAAACTTATCAAGGGGCGGGTGGAGTTTTAAAACTTTTTGGACAATTATGTCAATTTTTTTTCAGTTAAAAATGGTTTTCCAAGCTATTCAAAAACATCATAAAACCGTTTTGCCATCTTTTTTGCGTAGGATAATTTCGAAAAGAAACGTCAAAATTACGCTAGAGGTTGTTTTTTGGAAGATTTTGACCTCGCCTCAAATTTAGTGCAAATTAAGCCCCGATGTCTTTTTGACGAAATTGGGGCAAAGTTATTTTGAGTTTTCAACCAATTATGTAAACTTAAAATCAATTTGGGGACTTCGTACGCTCAGCCCTTAATTTGATTGGTAACCTTCTTAAATTGTCTCTAATAAGAATTTTTTGCGGTAAAATTTAATTGTTTTAGGAAGTTTCAATTAACGTTTTTAATTAGCTTTTTTTAAAGTTAACCGAAATAATCAAAGTTCAAATCATTATAGTATTTGGCGCTCATTTTGATCAGATAGTAAGTTGCTCTGCTTGCCAAATCTCGAACTGCTTGCCAAATCTCGAAAACACTTCGATTGTGTCTCAGTGCAACTTTCTATCAGGGTTTTTTTTCCAGAGTTTTCAAACTAATCTCTAATAGATTTTTTTAAACAGTATTCAATTGATGATGTTATCAGGGGCAAATTTATGGGGAGGACGCCCTGTTGCTCAGGAACTCGTCCCCCTGGCCACCAAAAGGGTCCCCATTTTCGAACTACTCTATGATGTCCATTTTTGGCTCGCAATCCTTATCTTTCTAAAGGCGCCTTCGGCTCCAATATATATTATTTTTGAGTGGGGCACGCGCGTCACAAAACAAGGTTTTTTGGCCTGTTTTTTTTCAAAAGTTACCTGCGGCGCAAAATTATCTGCGGCGTCAAAAGAGCGTCTTTATACTAGTTTGAGAGTGCTCGGATAGTAAAGGTGGTCGACAAAAAAAATCGAAAAAACTTTCAAGATCAGCCTCCCCATCCTCGATAAAACCCTAGATCCGCTTACATTGCAGAAATGGACAAAATGAATATCGACAGTATGGGAGTATATCTCACAAACACGACATTTGGTGCAGACATAAGTTTTCAACCGGATGTGAATGTAATCACAGTTGCCGGCAACATGGTCTTGTCGGCTCTGTGCATAGCAACTCAGCTGGTCATCATCTGTGTCTCTGTCGGACTGGAGGGAGACTTTTCGGCTAGGACTTTCATCGGCTTCCAGGCCTGCTGTGAGATTCTGAAGCGACTCGCGAGTGTCCATTTTGCCTCTTGTCTTATTCATAGTTAGTTCAAATTATAAATTTTATCCCTCCCCCTCCAACCCACCCCCCCTCAAATTCAACTCCGCCCAACCCAATCCCAACCCTGAAAAACCCAAAAATTTGACTTTTTATATAAACTGCAAACGAAAATCAACCTCAGTGAATGGTACAATCTTCGCATCTACCGGGAAATCTTCTCCCGCATGGTACTTACTGTACAATTTCCACCTCTAAATGACAATTCCATTCAATGAAGGACATTAATTTCACTACATGTGATTGGATATTGGTAATTTTATGCGTTTAATTTCCTGAATAATGAGAAATTTCTGCTTTCTGATTGGTTGGATAAGGTAAAGGAAGATTTTTACCCAGCGAGGGGGAAGAAGGTTTTCAATAGATTCCAATATTCTTTGAAATGTTTTTTTTTGTAGAACATCGGATCTGTTCCTTCACCCGGAGTATCATCCAGTGCAAGTTCATGCTCTATCTGCCCGCACTTCTGTTCGTCATCCCAGACTGGATGAATCTTCTGGTATCTCTCGACCGCATCATTGCAGTCAGTCGACTCACTGCGTTCTGGTACAAACAAAACTGCACGCGGAACGCCGCCTGGATTCCGATTGCTCTGATGACGTCACTTGTGTCGGTGGTGATGTTTCCGAGACTCATGTTCGGCACCATTTCCGAGGACGGGTCCATGTGTCGTGTGGACAATGGGGGAGTTTTGTTGATGGCTGCTACTGAGACCATGTATGTGGGTCTGGCGGCGTCCATCCACGTGGCCATCTGTAACGTCGTCCTCATTGCTCTGATGAAGATGAGACAAAGGCAGTCGCAGAATGAGAAAGCGGTGCGTCTTTCGTTCATTATAAGTTTCAAAAATTGCAGCAAAAAAACTGATTGTTCCGACCATTGAAAAGGTTCCGATCATATCACAGCGCTTACAGTCGTGATTCGAACCACATTAAAAATCTTCAATTTTTTTCCCCAGTGTTGAGAAAAACCGGTTTGAAATTTTGGATTTTTCATCTTATTTCGAGCAAATAAAGCGAGCGAGCAGTTTTATTTTAGTTGATTCATTGCTTAAAAACTTACAATAGCTTAATTTGAAACGTAAAAACCTAGCTTTACCTGGGTTACATTAGTTTACTTTGAGTATTTAGCGTGAATTGGAATCATGTTTTTCAAAACTTTGAAAAACTTCAAAAAATTGAAAAATTTTCGAAATATTTTTTAAAATTTTTTTTTGTTTTTCTAGTAATTTTTCTAGAAACATTGTTTTTCATTTTGCTTACAAACGTATGGCTGTCGAACATACTTAATCCCCATTTATTTGTTCATCTCTTTTTATCACCCCACGCCAAAAAAAACGACAATAATTTGAAAAAAATTTGGTTGTATTTATTTAAGATTTTGATCGGATCATTCTGTGCTACTTGCATAATAATCGGTCTTTTTGTTTTCCACGCAAAATCAGGTACTACAAATAATCATCTGACTTGATTTTTTCGTCTTATTTTGAGCAAATAAAGCTAGCGAGCGGGCTTACAACAGCTGAATTATGCCTAATTAAAGACCTTAAAAATTATTTTTAAGCAAATAAACAAGTCTTTAGAGTTTTTCAGCTTGAATTTGGGCACCAAAAACTTCAAAAAAATTCAGAATTTTTCTACAAAAAATTGAGATAATTTGTTTTTTGGAAATTTCTTTAGTTATCTTAAACATTTCCCTTCAAAAAGTTTTGTCCAATTTTCTTGTTTTACTATAACTGTCTAATATGCCTAATTCATATTTTCATGTCAGATCCTTTTACCACACCAAGCAGAAACAAAACTACACTAATTTGGAAAAAAAATTCTGAACCGTAGATTTTAGAAGACTATGGTCGGAACATGTTGCGCTACTTGCACAGTAACCGGCTATCCTTGTTTGAATATTCATTACGAGGCCAATATGTGCATTCTGTGCGCATTTTAAGTGGATTCCGCAACAGGCCAAATTCAGATTCGTCGCGGAATCGGCAACATTGCTACTTCTCTATGATCTTCTTCGCTGTTTTAGATTCCACAAACAAAAACCTAAAAAATTGTTCCACTCAAAATCATTGCAAAAATAGGCAAAATTGCGGAAGCCGCAACCGTATTTGCAGAGTCCAGAGCAGTTTGTGGAATCCACAAACAAATAATAAGACTTGTGTATAGTTGAATTGAGCTGTAAGCGGAATCCGCACTCAAATTTGTGTATATGTATATCTATATAATAGAGTTTAAGTTTATATCTTTTAATTACTAGGTGGTCACCAAAAAATTCAATCTCATTGACTAAATTACTCTGTTGATCAGTTACCTGTTGAATTGCCTAACGTTTGATCTCAATTTCTGTCAAACACCAAGCTTCAGAATTTGGGATTGATGGAATACCAAATACCGACCAATATTTATGATCGATGAAATCTCAAATATTAACCTAATTCGACGATATGCTGTGCATTGTGTTTCTAGACCCAATGACTCCAAATAATGAATTTATTCCATATTTATTCCATACTATTCCAGTATTTGGGATTCCATCAACCCCAAATACTGACCATCATTTGAGATCGATTGAATCCCAAATACTGACATAAATCGGGGCTATGCTGTGCGTTTTTCTAAACACTCTCGACCCAATGACTACAAATAATGAAATTATTCGATGTTGTTTTTCCAAATCTATGATTCCAAAAAGGTTTGCTGAGATATGTATCCCAAATATTAAAAGATGACATCCACCGATTTAGTTAATCAATGTTATAAGATTCGTTCGTGGATTCCGCTGACATTGGTCTTGTCTTGTTTTTAATTTCCTCGTCGCTAAAGATAAGAATTCCAGCTCTAGCTACTGTTTGTTGTTTGTTCATATGCAAGTTCAATCATATACAAAATTCGGAATCCACTTACAGTTTGCGGATTCCAATAACATTTGCGGATTCAACTTATATTTTGCGGAAGCCACTTACAGTTGCGGAATCCAGAACAACTAGTTAAATTCGCTTGTTGCTGAGTCCAACAATTGTGCCGACAAATCTTACGTTACAGTTATTTGTACGCGGAATCCACGGAAATTTTCTAAGTGGAATTCACTTACATTTTGGAACATGTTTAAAGGTTAGTTTCTGGTATCCAGGAACATACAAACACAAAATTGTGCGCCTATCGAGTGCACAGTTTGGCCTCGTAATGTTGTATTTTTTTCCGATCCCAGTAAACGAAAAGGAAACTTTAGATTTGAGTTTTTGCCGAGCA